CGGCCTCTGGCCTGCCGCGCTGGCTGAGGGCTTGGCCGCGCTGGCCTCGCCGGCTGAGGGCCTGGTCGTGCCAGCAGAAGGCCTGGACGCGCCGGCAGAAACCATGTCCAATGCTCTAGCCCTAGCGAGAACTCCTGTGTGTTTAATATTGTGTGATATGCCATGAATTTTAATCTATTACATGTCCCAACACTAGTCATTTTTTTGTGCATTTTTATCTATTTTTGTGAATTTTTACTGTATTTTAAGGCCAGGCATGCCCAGGAGGCGGCCAGCACGCCCAGCGAGCCAGCATGCACCGGCGGCGGCCAGCCATCCTGGCCAACGAGCCAAACCGAGCCCAAGGCCTGTACGTGAGGCCACAGGGGCAAAATCGTCCATCCAAGTCACAAATACATGTATTAGGAATAAAAAGGGGATGAAATACATCTAATGACCCCGTTCGCTGGTCTGAAATTTGGCTGAAACTGACTGAAAAACACTGTTCCGGCTGAATTGTTGTGAGAGAAAAACACTGTTCCAGCTGAAAAAAGAAGCCGAACATGTCATGAAAATGAAGAGTCCCATGTTTGGAGGGCTATTTTTACGAAGACGATGTTTGGAGTTTTAAATCTACGAAGCGTATTGTTTGGAGCGCCAGATATGCAACTTTCACGCAGTAAGGCACCTCTTAGCTAGCGTGAATTGAAGTCTCTTGCCTGAATCGGAGTCTATGTTGCCTGTTCTGCGTATTATTGCTACATGAACATGACCCTATGGACGAACCTCTATTGCTGCGTATTATTTTCACCCGCATGTTGTTGCTCATACAAAAGTCATTTGGGCCTTTGGGGGCAGGTTTGAACAGATAAAAGGATTTCATAATTAAATCAATCAATGATACTGTGTATATGCTTCGAGGGAGGCAGAGGCACCACTAAAACATGTCGGCTTAACTTGATTTGAGAAGCGGCCGGTGAACTTGCCCTACCTTCCTCAGCCAAAGCCTTGTTTAGCTGATATATATAGATTTGGAGATAACCTTGTAAGGGGAGACTGAAAGTACTCTAGTTGGGAAAGGGTATTAAATTGAAAGGTTGAAACAAAGTTATCTTTTTATTAGACGAGTTACTGTTTTGGATCACATACTTGTAGTTGTAGCTACTCTTCAATTGAGACAAGTTATTTTTTATTAGATATAAATTACTCAGAAGTTGGATCATGAAATCAAATTAGATTGCGGTCCACGGTTGTTTGCTCAAGTTGGAATAGTTGTCGAGGGAGTTGGAATATATCCTCGAGGCTTTTACATGCATGTCATTAAAAAAGTTTGTAATTACACATAAGCCATTAAAAAAATTGACCGCACACGAGTGATATCGTTCTGAACTTCTTTGCTCTCCAAGTCATTCCGTCGGTGTTCTGTTCGTTTTTCATCGTTTGGGAGTTCTGACAAGTGGTGGGTTCGGTTAGTCAAAACGTCCATAATACCCTCTCATCCCTATCCTCTCTCTCTCTCTCAAACTCGATCTCTCTTCTCGGGCGTGCGGCCGGGGCGGAGCTCGCCCGCGCCCGCGCTCGCAGCGGCTGGCCGGGGCCGAGCTCGCCCGCGCGCGCCCGCGGCGGCTAGCCGGGGCCGAGCTCGCCCGTTGTAAGGTCAAGATGGCGGACTAGAGGGGGGTGAATAGTCTTTTCTAAAATTAATCGCGTCGGCTAACCGAAACAAGTACGGAATTAAAACTATCGGTCTAGCCAAGACTACAACCCTCTATTTATGTTCTTTAGCACCTTCCAAAGATACTAATTAAGCAACAAGGGTGTCGGGTTAGGTAGAGCTCACCTAACCAATTCTAAAAGCAAGGTCACACAAATCTATGCCACTATTTCTTTAAGCAACAAGGGAGCTCCTACATATGCTAGTAAGCAAAAGCACAAAGCCACCTAAGCTCACTAGCAATGCTCAATAACAAGACAACCAATGTCAAATTAGAGAGCGCAATTACTTAGCTACACAAACTAAGCAATGTGACTAACAAGGTTACACAAACCAAATTAGCCACGCAAGGGAGCTACTTCTATGCTACACAAGCAAGAAGGCAACTAGTAAGCTACACAAGCGAACTAATTACAAAAGCAACTACACAAGCACAAAATATATGAAATATAAATACAAGCTTGTGAAAGGGGATTACAAACCAACGGGAAGAACAAGGTTGACACAATGATTTTTCTCCCAAGGTTCACGTGCTTGCCAACACGCTAGTCCCCGTTGTGTCGACCACTCACTTGGTGGTTCGACGGCTAATTGGCATCACCCGCTAGGCCCGCATGTCGGACACCGCAAGAACCTACCTCGAAAGTGAGGGTAGCTCAATGACATGTTTTACTAGAGTTGCTCTTCACGGCTCCCGCGGGGCGAGCACAATGCTCCTCACAAAGCTCTTCTCCGGAGCACCGCACAAGCTTTTTGAGGGCTTCGACGGAGACCACCACCAAGCCGTCTAGGAGGTGGCAACCTCCAAGAGTAACAAGCATCATCGGCTTGCAACTCGATCACCTAGTGCCACTCGATGCAATCTCACAATACAATCGCACTAGAATCGCTCTCTCACACAATCGAATGATCACTATCAAGCATATGTGAGATGGAGGGCTCCCAAGCACTCACAAGCATGGACACAAAGTCCCTCGAGGTACTCAACACCAGCCATGGCCGAGGCCACCTTCTATTTATAGCCCCACGGGCAAACTAGTCGTTACCCCTTTCACTGGGCAAAACTCGGGACAATCGGACGCTCCGGTCGTATTGACCGGATGCAGGACCTCAGCGTCCGGTCAACGGATGCTCACCGCGTGTCGTCTCCATTCAACCTCAGTCACTTGATCTCAACGGTCAAGTGATGACCCGACGTAGTCAAAGAATCGACCGGACGCGAAGCGGCCCCTGGCGTCCGGTCGTTTCTAATAAAGATTACCGATTTGCGGACCGGACACGTCCGGTCGGTCCACGATCGGACGCAGCACCGGCGTCGGTCCTTCTCAACTTTTACGCGACGCTTACGTCATCGAGACGTCGGCTGACCGGGACGCACCCTACCAGCGTCCGGTCACTTCCAGCGCCAGCGTCCGGTCGAAGACCGATGCCTGCACGCTCTCGACCGCCACTGACCGGATACAGGACCCCAGCGTCCAGTTACCACGTGACCGGCGTCCGGTCCACTCTGTGAGACCCTATCTTTTTCTGTATAGGGCGTCGGTAGAGTTTCTAACCCTTCTCGCCTCTGTTTCATCACCGAGTTGATCCACATCAACTCCAACTTCATCTCCTTTATAAATGTGCCAACACTACCAAGTGTACACCATCATGTGTATGTGTGTTAGCATTTTCACAACCATTTTCCAAAGGATTAGCCACTCAACTTGCCACGCCACTCAATTCTAGCGACGATGCAAAGTTAGATCACTCGAGTGGCACTAGATGACCGATATGCAAACAAGTTTGCCCCTCTTGATAGTACGACCATCTATCCTAAACCTGGTCATCAACTTCTCTACACACCTATGACCGATGAAATGAAATGCCCTAAGTTATACCTTTGCCTTGCACATTCCATTCCATCTCCTCTAATATCGATGCAACACATGCACCAACACGATCAACAATGATATGATCCACTTCATATCATCACGTGATCACATTGGTTTATCGATCTTGACTTCACTTGCTTTTCACCGTTGTCTTCGTCCATCAGCGCCAAGTCTTGCTCAAGCTTCACCGCCACATGCTCCATCGCTCTAAAGCCTCCAACTTGCCCTTCACGCTTGCAACCGGTCCATCAAGCTAAGTCTTGTCTTGATCTTCTCCACCTTCATCACATGACTCAATGTCATGTCTCATGTGCAATAAGCTCCTTCATTATCACATGTGTGAGCTTTGCAACATCTCCAAACCATTTTTACCTTCATGGCATATGTTGCTCACACACATGTACTTGTGGACTAATCACCTGTGTATCTCACATAAACATAATTAGTCCACCTAGGTTGTCACTCAATTACTAAAACCACACAAGGACCTTTCACCCGCGCGCGCCCGCTGTGGTTGGGGCTAGGCTGGGCGGCCGCACGGAGCCGCGGCGCCGAGGCGGTCACCTTGAGGATGGCCACGGCCAGAGCGGCCACCATCAGCAGCACCGCCATCTCCTTCTTCTTGGCCTTGGCGGCGCGGGAGACGCGCCTGCACCTCGCCCGGGCGAGCGCGCGTGGCGGATAAGACATATATGGCACGCCACGCACGGCCATGAGCACGAAAGTTGACGGAGGGATGGCGGCCAAGCTCGAGCGCTGAAGCCCGCGAGCGGGCTCTGCCGGCCGCAAGCGAGGGGAAGCCGGGCGTGGACGAGGACGCCCGCCGTGAGGGATGGCGGCCCGTGAGCCTGAGCGCGAGGCCAGGCGTGGGCGAACGCTGGCCATTGCTGAGGGGATAGGTGTCATGAGCTCGAAGGCCGAGGTCGGGCAAGGGGACGCCGCCGCCGCCGACGGAGGGGATGGCGGCCCATGAAGCTCGAAGCGCGAGCTCCGCCGAAGCGGCTTTCGCCGACCGCAAGCATAAGAGCGAAGCTCACGGGCGCGGACGCAAGCGAAGGAGGAGATGCCGGACGATGAGGAGCAAAGGCGGTGGCGGCGAAGCGCCGCGCTGCAGGCGTCGCGAGGACGCGCGCACGCAGCAGTCGCGTCTCGGGTGCGTCTTTCGCGCTTTACTTCACGGCGGATGACTTCGCGGCCGTGCCGCTGCGTCTTCGGCGCCAAAGAACGTGTCCAAGATCTTTGAGCGCATCGAGCTCCCCGAGCGGTGGCGGGGGTGGCATGCGGCGACGCCGTCGAGGAGGCCAAGGCGCGGCGGTGGGACCCCACCTTTGGCGCGTCTCCTACATCCACATCCTCCGTGAGGTGAACGACAAGGCTGGGGAGCAGGTGGACGCGGCACGGGAGGAGATCGCCGGGGAGTTGGCGCCACAGTCATGGCCGAGTTCTTCCGTTTTCCGTGGCGTGGAGCGCGAAAGCGTGAGCTCTCACCTGGCGTGGTGCGAGCTCCGCCGGCGTCGGACGCGAGCGTGAGCGGTGTGGACTAAAGAAGTAAGAGGATAGAACAAGAGAAGTGTATTTTAGACCTTTATAAGCAAAGAATTTTAGAATGACGGTACTCGTGTGCGGTTAATTTTTTTAATAGTTTATATGTAATTATAAACTTTTTTTTTCAGTGGCATAGCTGTAGAAGCCTCTGTATCCTCCGGCTCCCGCACACGGACACGGCACTCCGGCCCCGGCCGCGACCGCGACTCCGCCAGTACGCCACGGCCACCAGCCTCAGCCCCCTGCGGGTGCTCTCCGCCTGTCGAAATAACCCTGCTAGGCTACCGCCGCCGCCGCCGCATCCGTGATCCGTCACCTTCACACCGTGCGCTCTCTCTCCCTCTCCCTCTCGGTCTGCGACGACTAGGGCGGCTACCGGCTACCGCCGCTGCCAGGTGCCGAGGTCTTCGCCGATCTCCTCGCTCCACCAGGTACTCCCTCCCCTTCTCTTCCCTGTCTGCTGTGGGAAACCGAGTCCCAAACTCTAACCTCAAGCTATTTGGCTATTTGATATCTAACTCCTTACATGTGTACACCCACGTCCCTTTACTAGATCCGCCCCTGATACCTGGTGTCACGGGCATGGTGTCGCTAAATCGCCTCATGTTCAAGAAGGGACGGAGGCGTCGCCGGCGAATCCAATCCAGCAGTGAGCCACTTCTTACCTGAACCGAAGTCTCTTACCTGAATCGAAGTCTGTTACCTGTTATGCGTATTATTGCTACATGAACATAATCCTATGGATGAACCTCTTTTGCTGCTACTTATGGTGCCTGCTGCTAATGCGTTCCTGTTTATTCATTGTTTCCCAATTAAAAAAAATTCTCCTTTTTGATGGTGGAGCAAATTGGCGAATTTGATTAATTTAACCTGGCTAACCATTATTTGACCATAAAATCTTACTTGGTGGAAACCAAAGCACTAAGACTTTTTTTTTTTGGGGGGGGCGGGGGTGGGGGAGGTGAGTGGAAAACTGGAATAGGGTTTCAACCGCACTCAGTTTTGTTGGCATGTTGACTCACAGAAAACACATTTGGGGTGGATTTGAACTGATAAAAGGATTTCATAATCAATTAATGATACATGTGTATAATGCTTCGAGTTAATGATACATGAGAGCCAGAGGTACCCACTAAAACATGTGAACATAATTTGATTTGAGAAGCGTCCGGGGAACCCTGTCCTACCTGCCTCAGCCAATGCCTCGTTTAGCTGATATGGATTTGGAGATAACCTTGTAGGGAGGAGAATTAAAGTACTCTAGTTGGAATAGGACATTGAAGCCCCTGGCCGATGGGCTCCTCCATCACGTACTTGTGGCTTCCCTCTTGAATTAAAAGTTTGAAACAAGCTGTCTTTTTATTAGATGAGTTACTGTTTTGGATCACATGCTTGTAGCTTTTCTCTTGAATCAAGCTGTTTTTTTGTTAGATATAAATTACTCAAAAGTTGGATCATGAAATCAAATTAGATTGCGGTGACAGTTGTTTGCTGGAGTTGGTTATATTATTAAGCACCATACATGCTGTACTGCAGATGGATTGATTGCTCCAGTGCCACAAAAGGACTCACTCTGCCAAGAAGATTGTCATTTGCAGAGCGGTGAAAGTTTGACATATTCAGGGCCGAACTTTCCTGAGGTAGACCATAGCAGCTTGATAACAGATAGCCTATATTACTAGTAAAGCATCAATTTGATTGCTCGAACTGCTCTAGTTGATGAGCCTATGGCTGTTACATTCGAAAATGTTAACAGATCTAGTATTTACTTCGTTGTTACAGTTACAGTGACAGTGAATCCTAACCTACCTCTAGCTTGCTCAGTACTGATACGAGTTTAGTTACATCATCCAATACACAAGACTTTATTAAAAATACATGGCCTCCAAAAATTTGACCCCCTCCCCCCCGGCGCGTGAAAAGATGAAAGTATCTCACCAAATGCCATCCTTATGTAACACTGATTACCCATCTAACAAAAAACCAGATTTTATGAGTTTCAGTACTGAGTAAGAGCTGCTATGAGCAAGGGGGAGGGGAGGTGGAGGCCTGCTAGGAGAGGGCAGAGCTGGGGGAGGTGACGACACAGCGGGTAGAAAGAGAGGGAGAAGAAGGATAGGGTCGGTAGGATCACGGAGGAAATAAAAAGAGAGGAGAGCAAGGATACTAACGAGTGGGCTCCATATGGCAGTGTTTGTGCAAAAAGAATATGGGAAGTTAGGTATTGAGGATCTTCTAGAGTTGCACTCGCAATAACCATGAGAATGGTATGGGGGCAATCCCAATAAGTTCTTATTGGGAGTTAGGTAATGGGTATGCTTTGGAGTTGCTTACCCCAATGGCTGGACCTAGCTTCTGAATTTCTGTGTTCCCTTTCCAGTGTGATCATGGCTGAACCTGCTTTCTGCTACAAGTAGGTCAAGCACCACAAGGTAATGGCTGTTGAACTAATAGACTTCACAGATGTTTCCAAAAGACTTGATTGTTCATTTTATGCAAACTGTTCCAGTTGAAGCATTACAAGAAGCATGGGCTTTGTCTTATACAGTTTGTTTTCTCCTGGTTGTGAACGGCCATTTAAGATTGCAATTATCCTCACAAGGTATTGCAGCTATATAGTATTTAAACACAGCCTAGTATACTACCTAGTGGTCGAGCTATTTTTAGGACTCTTACTGTGCCCTATGGCAATCATATAATGAGAGAAATGGCAAGTACTTAAATAGCATACAACACATCAATTTATGACACCAAAATTCAGCATACATCACATAAATTTATCATAATAAAAAAGACCAATCTGACCAATTAGAAAAACAGAAGAGTTAGTGACTAAATAATGAGCGAAAAGATATCTAAAAAAATCTGCGTCGACTAGGTACTCGAGTATGGGACACAGTGCGCCATTGCCATGTTGGTCGTGGATTCTCGAATTAAGCTAGTGCCCAATGGATCTAGCAGGCCAGGCCCATGTTTCAACAGTCAGGTAGCCCAAATTAATAAATAGATTAGACCGGCATGTCTTTTTCAACCTCTGTCCGATCCTATGCGGCTGCAGTTCGGTGCTCCTTCAGTTTGTCAGAGCCTCGCAGGACCTGAGGACTGGGGGATAGCTGGTATTAGTGCTGGGCTTGCGGCAGCTACCTGGGGCGGCCACCCCATGTCGCTGTTATGGTGGATCCGCCCCTTCCATTTACCTCTATGAGGCAGCACACTTTGTGCAATCTTGAACAAGATCACCTGAGTTTTGCCTATATAGTCGCATTTCTTATTTGCATAGAAGTTAAATTAAGTAATATTTTGCTTTGCAGTCCTAGTGTTCACCTATTATTTCCATGCTTGTGCAGGATATCTGGTTCCATATACACTCGCTATTACCACTGCATGATTCTGTCCATTTTGCCTGTGTTTCTCGCACATTTATGTGCTTTTGGAAATGCCACCCCAAGCTTATCTTCACTGAGGAGGCACTGGGCTTGAAACGAAATGCTTGTGAAAAAGGTGACATAGCAAAGGATTTTACTAGCAGAGTTGACAGTATTCTTAAAAATCACATAGGTGTTGGCGTGAAGACACTGAAGATTGTAGTCTATAATCACTATAATGTTGATGCCAACCATTTTAATAGTTGGCTTCAGAGTGCAATTACACCAGGGATTGAAGAAATCACCCTTTTCCTACCTACAAATTATAGGGACGGGTATAACTTCCCATGCTCAGTTTTACTCAATGGCCGTGGAAACTCAATTCGGTATCTTCACCTCACCTATTGTGCGTTCCGGCCCATGGTTGGATTTGATTGCTTGAGAAGACTGACAAAGCTACATCTATATCAAGTGCGCCTCACGGGGAATGAGTTAGGATGTCTTATTTCCAAATCTTTTGCTTTGGAACAGTTAGAACTCATGTCTTGCGATGAGCTAATCTGCCTGAAGATCCCATTATGTCTGGAGCGTCTCAGCTGCCTGCGTGTCACTTGGTGCAAAATGCTTAAGGTAATAGAGAGCACGGCCCCAAACCTTTCCTCTTTTGACCTCTTTGGTGATTCAATACAACTCTCACTTGGAGAATCATCACAACTGAAGAACCTGCATGTGGGCTTTTCATACCATGACAACTTTGTCAGCTATTCTATTACCAGACTTCCTTCCATTGTGCCACATCTGGAAACTCTTACGATATCTTCGACTGGTGAGGTAAAATACGATACTTCACATTAGTGTGTTAGTGCTATGGAATATAATATAACCATAGTCATGCTCAAGAAAATATATAATATCAATTGAGATATCTCTGTGCAGACGGTTGATACACCAATAGCAGTTGACAGATTCCTCCACCTCAAGGGCTTGAAGATTTACCTTGAAGTTGATTATTTGGCCTTTTCTCCAGCCTATGATTATTTGTCGTTGGTTTCCTTTCTGGATGCATCTCCTGCTCTGGAGACTTTTATCTTGAGTGTAAGTTATTCATGTTGGCTATCTAGTATCTGTTGAGGGTCTGTATAATTTAAGTGACATTATTTTATTCATATGTAGGTTAATCATGTGGAGGAAATGGAACATGTTTCGGTTTATGGGTATGTCTCGCCTATGAGGCAGATCCATGGTCTCAAGCATCACAGGCTCAGGAAGGTGCACATCAATGGTTTCTGCTCTGCAAAGAGCATGGTTGAGTTGACATGCCATATCCTACAAAATGCAACGTCACTTGAAAGTCTTACCGTGGACACCATATTTAACGAGGTGGCAGATAGTAATATTAGTCGGTGTTCTGTTCAAAGCACTGGTGAATGCAGCCCCGTACGTAGGGATAAGATTTTGGAAGCGCGCAAATCACTCAGCGTTATCAGAAGTTACATCCTAGGTAGGGTTCCTTCAACGGTTAAGTTGAATGTTGGGGAGCCTTGTAACCGATGCCACGTTATAGATGTCTAGCTGTTGTGATCTTATCCAATATTTAAGCATCCAACCTTGGATATATTGTGATTAGATATGTAATAGTGTTGCACGTGTTGTCGTAATTGCTCATTATCTGGTCCTGTGATAATACACTCGAGTGCTGTTTATTATTAGTATTACTGTAAACTTATCACAATACGCTGTGCGTTTTTTTGGGGGGTGTGCGTAACGATGCACCACGATGCAAGAGTGCGTGTTTATTCTGCCCGTGATTGATTCATGACAGATGCACGCAAACAGCTGTTCGCGAGTACTAGGGCCGTTTGGTGGATTCCATATTCTTGTAAGGACAGCTCTTGAATGGTTCTCAAAGCATATTGTTTCTTAAAGCATATTATTTTACATTTTAATATAAGAGATAAAATCTAGCTCTTGATCAATAACTAGTCACATGCATATATTTTATGATTTTATATGAGAATGTTACGTTGGACTATTCATATCAGATTTTATATGAGGATCTCATGTGGGACTATTTATGTTACGAGTTATTTGCTAAAAGTTAGTATTATTGAAGTTATCTTAAAGCTAGTAATTAGCTCATATTGTTGAGGGTGTCCTAAAAACGTTTTGGATCCAGATTCTATTTAGAAACATTTCAGATCTAGATTTCATTTAGAAATGTTTCTTTGGTGATTCATGGTGCATTTGGTAGGGATGTGGATTTTTTTTATAAACGTTAAGAATTCAGATTATCTTAGAAAACATTTTATATGGTGAATTAGAATCACTTTATGAGATAGTTTTGGCTGGTAGGCTAGATTATGATTCATAGAAAGATATATATTTTCTTAAAAATAATATAAATAAAAATATATTTTAAAAGAAGAAGAACATTTTCCATATTAATTGTAGCTAGGGAATTGACTGACTTTGATTAATATCTTTGTCTAGCATTTCCAAATTGCCTCAAGACTGATACAGATTTTACGGAGTAATTACCACAGGGCAGCTTGCCCTAAGAGTATAGTTAAGTGGGTCAATTCCCAGAACAGAGTTCATTGACTAATAAATGACTTGATCCACTTAGTGGCGGATCCAAAGGGGGGGCTGGGGGGGGCTCCAGCCCCCCTAATATCTTGATTTCAAGACTAATCACTGTAGCAAAAGCTTGATTTCACCATTAAATCTTCATGCAAATCAACATCTCCATTGTTTTAGCCCCCCTTATCCCGCATCGTGCATCCGCCATTGGATCCACTCATTAGCATTGAGTGTTGTCTGTAATTTACTATATTATATATAGTAGTAGTGACGAGCACTTTTACCGGAAAGAGTTGACTGAGTTAATGGATTCGCTTGTTGGCTAATCTGAATCGACTTACTTAAGTGTGGTGTTACCAGGCTTGGAAAGAAAACTTCTTTATGTGTTTGATTTCCCTAATTTACTGGTTGGCCACTTAAATACCTGCCAAGCATTCCCAATCTCTGTTTTTGTCACACAATAAGATCCAATTTGTTTAGACTCGTTAGGTTTGGTCACCCATTACCTTGAGTGAGGCCAAAGGTGTACACCTCTTGTCATGAAGATGTGATCATACCGGTATTTGGTAAGAGCGTGACATCGGGTCAATGGCATCGGCCAGGTAGAATTGCAGCAGCTACACTGGGTGGCACTAATACATGTTAAACTTCCTCCGGTTTACCATGCAATCTAAGAGGCTGTTTGAATCCATTAGCACTAAAATTAGCAGCTAAGGGTCTATTTGGAATATGGGAATTTTTCCATGTTTCTATGTTTTTCCTATAAAATTAATTAAACTGATTCTTACGAAATTCCTGCGCAAACCCTATGAAATTTATGCGTTACATATAGACCCTAAAATAAGTAATAGTGCATCAAAACAGACCTCCTAATAAACCTGCTATTTATTAGCCAGAAGACTGCTAACTATTAGTTTCATTAGTTGGTTTAGAGTTGCTAATAGTTCATATACACCCCCAACTCACTATTTAACCACCTATTAGCAGGTGGATCCAAACGAACTCCTACTTAGCTAGTTAAATAAACAGTAGCTATTAGCTAGCTATGTTTTAATACTAATGAATCTAATTAAAGAGACCTTAATTTAAGCAGAGTTATTTCCAAATTCTAAACACAAATTAATCCTGGGACGTTTTGTAGCGTCAGTGGCATTGTGTGCGGCGAGCGTGCGGGGCAGTGCGCGTGACCGGCTCGAAAAATGCGCTCTCAGAATAAAAAACAAAAATATTGGACGGCTCTCTTTGTACTCTTCGAGGGGGAAAAAAAATTGCACCCTTCCCCAAGTTTTCTGGCTCGCCTCAAATTTCCAGCGGAAAAAAATATGGTGGAACGGCTCATCGGCGCTGGTGTTGCCGGGCGAATCAACATCCTTGATTATGCATGGGAGATCGGAGGTTGTGGGTTATGCCCCGTGTTTGGTTGCACTTTCGTCTGTAAATCTATCAGTTCCTGGAAAACGGGCTAGTAAATTTGGGTGAAATAAAGTAGGATGCAATAGAAAATGTGACGCGGACGGGAAAATGGGCAGGTTCCCAATTATTTGTTATCAACCAAAGCAATTGTGATGCTGCATATATAATAGGGGAATTATCACACAGGGACAGGACGCAACTAGTAAGGAAACTATATACCAGATTTTAGTAGCTATCCTTTATCGATTCTGAGGGTGCTTTAAATAAATAGAGAGAAGAAGCGTCCTAACTAGAAAAATTGCCCTTGGTGAAAGTAGTGTGCTGTGCACATATACAATATTAATGAAAAATTGAATTGCATATGCGCCTGCAGTAGTGCAGACATTGATTAATACCCCTGTTTTGTCAATTTTGGTCTTTTTTGTCTCTGTTACAAATCCAAAAATTATGTGGTGGATCAAACATATGAGCCCTGGCCCTGGCTGGATATCCAATTGCTGCCGCAGCGGTCGGACGCCAGGTGTTGAGAAAATTATACATAGCGGTAAGGTTGTGTGTTTGACTGCGTAATCAAATGAAGCTTTGTATTATGTTCAGTACCATGTGTAATTTTGTTATTTCATTAAATACATACAGTTGCTCCTAGAAATTGGAGGGGTCTTGATATTTATTTCACAATAAACACAAGTGATGTAGGAGTAATCTGAAGCACTGATAGAGTTGCCAGTCCCTCCAACTATGCCCCTCTCTTGAACACATACAGGTGGGGAGTGATATGAACAGATACAAGTAGGAAACACGTGAGTTGGTTTCTTATTAACAAATTGGCCCCTAAAAACAAGTGCAGGGCAGAAGATACATAGACTGTGTTTAGTTCGCGAAATTTGGAAATTTGGCTATTGTAGCACTTTCATTTTTATTTGACAATTAGTGTTCAATCATGGACTAATTAGGCTCAAAACGTTCGTCTCGCGATTTCCCACCAAACTGTGCAATTAGTTTTTTTTCGTCTACATTTAATGCTCCATACACGTATCGCAAGATTCGATATGATGGATACTGTAGCACTTTTTGAGAAAGTTTTTGGAACTAAACACGGCCATAGATTTCCATATTCACACAGTCGCGTAGGCAGCAAACTAGGTTTAGTGCTGCAGGGTATATATGCACCACATATACATCAGAATAGGCTGCATGGTGAACGAAATGGGAGGGACACAGCCAGCCATTGTCATAACTGAAAGTCAAGTTTGTCGGCGAATTAGTGTTAGCACACCTCTCAACCGGTTCACAGAATAGCTTGATTCAACTACAAATCGGATTACACGACCTCAGGGAAGAGGGAGGTGGAGTTCAGCAAGCAGTTGGGGATGAGGATCTAGAGAAGAACACCAAGAAGGATCTAGAAGACACTAGAAGCAGGGGATCTGGGTACAAGAGCGAGATGCAGTGGATGGGGAAGAACCATAGAGGAAGAAGAACACTAGTTCGAGATGGAGATGTCTGGTTCTCTGAATATTCGATGCCCTCTCCAGCTGCTGCTCCTGCGCTCTTGTAGAAGACATCCAGTGGTCCAGCGAATGCTCGACCAGGCCAAGGCCCAAGGCCCAAGGCCCATACGACGGCCCAACCACGAGTGATCCCTGACAATTAGTGAAGCTCCTTGCAGGTCGTTTAAATGGTCCAGCCCCTACCGAAACTTGTCAATACCTCGATGCAGGGACGGATGACCAGTTATCTCCAAATGAAAGCAGGTCCGCAGTGTTGGCTTTCTTGCCTTGACCACATCAGGCTGCACATATCAATGACAGGAAGTGAAAATAAGGGCAGGAATGTGAAGGCAATGCATGAATGTTGAGAAAAGACATGAAGTGGAAGGCCTCATTCGCTTGTCTTAAATTTGGCTTGTTCGGCTTATTTTTTCAGCTGAAACAGTATTTTTCTCTCACAACAATTCAGCCGGAACAGTGTTTTTCAGCTAGTTTCAGCCAAAGTTCAGACCAGCAAACGAGGCCGAAAAGGAGCAAAGAGATTGAGCGATCGATGGCAGTACCCCCATGAATATTGTTTAGAACCTCATCTCTGGTGTAGTTGCGACCACATTCCAGAATCTCTCCCTTTAACAGCCGAGCTATGCACTGGTGTAGGCTTAAGCTTCTTTGTTTACATTGGCCATCATAGTTGGAGATTCCTTGCCTCACTGCATACAAGCAAAAGTATATTAGTCAGCCTTGTATCGGCCCATGCGACTAGTGTACGGGAAATGGATGAATTGCTTATCTTCAACACACATATTTTCTTGGTAAACCTAGGGGAGATGGATAAATAAATGGTCTTAGTAGTGTTAGATTGATCTTTAATTCCAAATTAGGCCCAACGGTCTAGTTGGGCTTTTGATCTGCGCCCTGATCGGGAGCGCCCAGCCTACTATGGCTGGGGAGCCCCTATCACACTGCGCTATATATAGAGGTGGGGGCCGGCGGCTCTGAGGACGAGGTTCGCCTGAACCGAGCTCCCCACCGAAACCTAAATCCTAATCCCGATCAGACAGGGGCGTAACCAGTGACGGGAAGCCACCA